AATTTGACTGATATATAAGTGTGAGAGTATTAAGAAATGAGGAGGGAAACAAACTTTCCAGAATGCCCTAAAGAAAAATAAAATGTGAAGTACTCTTTTCTTTAGAAACTAATTCAGTGCCAAAGCTTTGGCAAGATTTGCTCTCAGTAGGCAGGTCTGATTTCTTCAGCGTTTTCCTTTTTCCCCATCTCATCACCTAAAGGCCTGGAATATGACAGGGCAGAGAAGCCCAGGGGGATTTACCAGGTCCTGTTATAGCACATCAGTCATCAAAAGAACATTTAAATATTTTCATTTTTCTTCCAAATCTACCTCATGATAAACCTATTTTTCTTCCCAAGTATGTATAAGGTGTTTTAATGTTCTGTTCATGAAATAGAAGGTAGAATTTTAGGAAAACTTATTAAAGCCTTCATAACAGGACCTGAATAACACAAAAGCCAAAGTAGTGCTTCAACTAAAACCCCAACTGGCTCTGATTCAGTTTTTATGAGAGCTAACTTTGCTCATAAGCACATCTGTAAAAGCTGAGAGCACTACAGACATCCAGGTATAATATTTGGGTGGAATAAGTGGAAGTGGGGTAGGGTGAAGTTCATGGGCACTTCAGTTACAGGCGTGGTAAAAGTAAGTGTCCTTTTAGCAGAATGCATGGAAACATTTCTTGCTTGTGTAGAAGTGATTTGCACCTGCCCACAGCTACCTGCACCCTATTGACAGCACGTATGTAGAGCCCCTGACCGAGCGGGGATGGCGAAGCCAAGATGGCGGCCAGCCCTCCTCCTCCACCTGCTGAGGATGCACTTCATGCTGTTCTCTAAGCGTCACATCTCCGAGTGTAAATTTTGCACTATACCAAGCACAAATTACAACTACTTGAGGTGAATTTGTCAATTAAGAGATGTGGGCAGCATGCAAAGCAGTATCTGATAAAGGAGGATGCAGAATCACGTATCTGCTAATGAAGTGGGGTCTGTGTTGTTACCTGAGAGTTTTCAGAGGAAAAACCCACCTTATACACTTTCAAAAATCACGACTGTTATAGGAAAAAAAACCCTCTGAAAAACAGATCAAAACCAGACTGAGATCTGCTAACACCAAACATCTTCTCAGCTGCGTAATCCAAAGAATGAATTGTATGACATTAAGTTAATAAGATTTTACTAATTAGCTTTGCTCATCTGGTCAGTGCTTCCTGGTAATTCAAAATTACAAAATTTAGAAGAAAACAGAGCATGGTATATAGAGAAATTCCTGATGTTGGCAGTCAGATGACCACAGTCACAGAACTCGGCTTATACCAGCCTCAGGAGTCTCAGCAACGTGATGGATTTACACTTACAGCTACAAAGTCTCGGTATGTTGAACCACTAGCATTCATTTGGTTGATATTAGTAATACACATAGTATACCTAAGTGATAAGAGTATTCCAGGTGGTGGTGTGGGCTAGGCACAACGCTGCAGGATGTGGTGGGGTGGCTTTACCCTTTATGTTAGTAGAAACAACTATCCTCATACATGAAATAAGAATGACCTCCAAACAAAAAATCAGATTCATCCAACTGCCCAAACCAAGGCACATGTAAGGCTACTCGGGAATCTGAACTATGTGGATGAGGAGACCTCACTGTGCATTATTCAAGAAGAATGAGTTGTACACACGTATGTGTGTGTTTGGCAGAAGAAAATGCAAAGAGAAGGAGCAAAAAGGCATGCAGCCATGAAGAAAGAGGGAACTCCTGGGAACAGGTGGCAACCAGCTGAAAAGTGTCTGCATTTGTTATTCTTCTGTATGGACAGCACTAGAAATACCTGATATTCTGATGAAAGATTGGAGTAAAAAATGAGAATAGTCTTATAGATGCAGGGCCATGCAATTGTGCCATCGTGGCTGTTCAGTAATGAACAACACTGGTGGTCCCTCCCATTGCAGTAAGGATACGTGGTCTATACATAGTCTTGGTGTATGTAGGTATTACAAATATGAAACACAACCCCAACAGCCCACCACACCACCATTTCAGAATTACCTGCTCTGTCACTGTAATTCTGCATTTGGGAGTTCTACAGAATTGAGGCAACATGGGATGGGCATAGGCTACCCTAAATAAAGGCTCCTCCATGGGACATCTCCTGTCTGAACAGTTTAGAGGGCTGAGAAATAACTGCCTTGAAGGTCACTAAAGATGAGCTGGGAGAACGACTGGCTCTCCAAAGGCCAGAATGGCTAGCAGCAGCCTAAAGCCATTGAAGATTCAACCACATGATTTGTAAGATTGGGTTGGTCTATGTGAACCTGTGGGTTTCCAAATAAAACCATAAGCTGGATTGAAATAGCAACCACTACAGTCTCGAAAAGCCACTTCTCTACAGGTTATTGAGAGGAAGATTTGGTAAAATCACTATTGGATACCCTACTGTGAAATAACTCTTAACCTGCCCACAAAATGTTAACACATATATTTCCTCCCTGTTTTGGGTTTGCATGGCCAGGTTTTGGTAGCAGAGGGGCTACATGGATGGCTTCTGTGAGAAGCTGCCAGAAGCTTCCCCATGTATGATAAAGCCATTGCCAGCTGGCTCCAAGATGGACTCGCCACTGACCAAGGCCGAGCCCATCAGCGACTGTGGTAGCACCTCTGGGATAACATATTTAAGAAAGAGAAAAAAACCCCAAAACCTAGCAGTAGCTTTAGCAGCCACAATGAGAAGATGTAAGAAACTCTGCAGACACCAAGGTCAGTGAAGAAGGAGGGGCAGGAGGTGCTCCAGGTGCCGGAGCAGAGATCCCCCTGCAGCCCGTGGTGAAGACCATGGTGAGGCAGGCTGTCCCCCTGCAGCCCATGGAGGGAGGATGAGGGGGTGTAGAGATTCCACCTGCAGCCCGTGGAGGACCCCACACCGGAGCAGCTGAAGGCACCTGAAGGAGGCTGTGACCCCATGGGAAGCCCACGCTGGAGCAAGCTCCTGGCAGGACCTGTGGCCCCATGGAGAGAGGAGTCCATGCCAGAGCAGGTTTGCTGGCAGGACTTGTGACCCCGTGGGGGACCCACCCTGGAGCAGTCTGGTTATTTCTCATTGCTCTACTCTGTTTTGCTTGTTAATAAATTAGATGAATTTTTTTCTAAGTTGAGTCTGTTTTGCCCTTGACATAATTGGTGAGTGATCTCTCCCTGTCCTTATCTTGACCCACGAGCCTTTCGTTATACTTTTTCTCCCCTGTCCAGTTAAGGAGGAGAATCATAGAGTTGCTTTGGAGGGCATCTGGCCTCCAGGCAGGGTCAACCCACCACACTCTTAAGGTTGATCAAGTGTTTAGGATGAGTTATGTTCAACAGACGAGATTTCTCTTTGATATTTTAAATTCCTCCTGGCTTCTTAAAAAGGCCTTCTTTTCCTACTCCAGTGCTAGGATAACTCTTTACCTGGAGGCTAACACCCAATGAAATTCATGTTCAAACTCCCCTAATTAAGATGACTGAGATGAATGAGCAAATTAAAGCAACAAAATCAGCTCACATTGCTTGTTTCTTCTCTCTTGCCTGGATCCTTACCGATTTCAGAAACAAAACTTCAGTTTGCAAAACTATAAAAGGATTTGCTAAAACAGGCCCATTCCCTTCAGAATGATTATGCGTTTTCCATGTGATTCCTCCTAGTATTTTTGGCAAATAAATACCTTATATTAAAAATATTGTCCTTGACAGATCATGCATGAGATGTATTTTGGAGACTACCCGTAGCAGCTGATGCCTGCACTATACCTCTCTTCTCAGTATTACAAAAGGGCAAAAATAGGAAAGGAGTTTTCTTTTGTTTCTTTTGTCAAGTTTTCATTTTGGGCAGAGAAGTAAGAAAGAATCAAACCACTGTGGTTCCAGGTAAAAAGGCACCTCAGCTTTCCTTTCGATATGTTTTAAGCAAAAGACAAACTTTACAAGAGAAATTACAATGTTTTTGGAAAAGACCTCTAAACAGATTAAAGCTTTTGTATCCTGTTCTAAATTAATTTTGTTGGACATTATGAAGACTTGCAGAGTTTGGGTGGCAAAATACCAACATACTCTGTCATGAGAGGCAGAAGGAACTATACCATCCTTTAGTGGCTCCATCACTGTTCATGTGGCCTGCTCCAGCAGAAAGACAAGGTGTCTGTGGATTTGAGTGACAGACGCTTAAGCCAGTGTGCATTTTGCTCTCTTAGTACATATAGCGAGAAACATGTCACTGGACAGTCATTGGAGACAAACAAGGCATACCACCTTAGCAAATCTCATTGTATTCCAACATTCGGGAAAAATATTTTAAGATTAAACGGGCTCTCTTTTGTAATTCAGTGGTATAAATGGCAAATTTCACTTGCCCTTAGCATATCTCCTAGGCACTAACGCAGATCGCAAATGACTGTGCAGAATTCAGACTTGGGTATAACAGAAATCAAAAGAAATGCTCTGTGATAGCAAATGCTCCAAAAAAGATGTTGGAAACACCATAGCATGATTCTTTGTTTGTGCATTCAAACAGCCATTATATTTACCTTAAATATACTTACACTAACCTAAGACCTACACTTGGCCTACTACATTGAACTAGTTTCTTTTCATTTATATTAACAACCAGAGAAAATTTACTAACATGCATTGGAAATGAGAGGTCCAATTAAAGCAAAGAATAATCTCTAGTTCTTTGTGCAGATGGAGATAAAAGAGATTAAAACCATTATCTGCAGTAAACATTCTGCACCACAACTTGGAAATCAGGAACCCTTGACCTTGTTCTGTGTGAAACACCACGACAGCAAGCTTTGGACTTCTTCCATGGAAGTATAATGTCTTAGATCAACATCCCTTTGGGATGGGAAGACAAACTCTGGAATTCTTTGTACAAGAATATGCAAACAATCAACTAGTAGCACCTGCAGAAGATCAGTTAACCTTTCGCATTTAAATATAAAGGCAAAGAGTTAGAAAGATGAGTGAATAAAAATGGAGCAAGAATCAGGTATGATGTGCATATTGTCTTTTATTGATCTCGTTATTTACATAACCAAGCAGACAGAAATTTTTCATTTATTTCCTGAGGAAACATTTCACTTATATAATTTGCTCTAGAGCACAAAGTGCATTTATTTACATGAAATTTACTCCTTTTGCTTTGTTTTCCTGCTTTCGACGAGCCCTAAAAGCACTGCATCAGCTTCCAGCAAAGTTGTATCAGTTGTTGCACCCAGGAACCTAGCCGTGAGTTCCAGATCCAGCAGTCTCAGACGTACTCGGGTTCCTCTCTGATATTTTCTGTGAAGAAAAGGGGAGAGGGGGAAGAAGGTAAATTTTGTTAAGCAACGGTCTTGTATCTCCTAAGGCTGCTCTCCTGTCTGCAGATCGAAGTAGGAGCCCCATGGAAAACAACATGCTGCAATGGAAGTCCAACACTGTTGTAATGCATCGGCACTCAAACTGCTGGGACGTACTCTGCAACACCACAGAGCCAGCCTCTGTTGATATAATCCTGGCCATGGAAGAGCAGACACCACCAGATCCCAAGAAAAGCAGTTTATTATATAGGAAACTGTTTGTGTCTTCCATCAAAATATTTTACTGTATCATCTGCTATCATGCACACAATTATCTGCAGGAAAACGTATCATTAAAGGGGAGGACAAGTCATCATTAGATCACTGGTGACATTGCTATTATCAAAAAAGTATAATGCCATTTAACTATGGTTTACATTTCCAACTCTGGGCCTCGGGCAAGGGAACTTTTCTTGTCTTATCCCCTCCTCCAAAAAGTGGGTATCATCTGCAAGTTTTTTATGACATATAATTAAAAAGAAACCCCACAACTATTGTAATGAAACATTCTGCCTACGGGGTTGGGTTTTATTGTTTTATGTTTTTTTTCTTTCTTTCTTTTTCCTTTTAAGTCAGAAGATGCGAGTGTTCAACGTGTTTTAAAAACAGACGTTGTGTCAAGGTGGCCATGCCAAATTAGTGAAGATTTTTGAAATACTAGCATCTTTTATAACGCACCTGGAGAGCTACTGATCAAAGTCCAGCAATAAAACTGAGAATTATTCTTCTTTTGAAAGTTCAAGCCATACCCATTTTTTCCCTAGTCAAAGCATAAAAAGCTGAAGATGCCTCAAAGCTTGACCACCTTTAGCAAAAGCAAGTTTGAAACACTCTCCAGTTACAGACTGGAGAAAATGTAGCAGGGAAGTCTGGTTGAACGCATTTCCACCTTGCTCATTTTCACCTTCAGGCTGGGCAGACATCTTTACTCTCTGACAATTGCTGGCTAGCATGGAGCAAAACCGAACTGAGTTTCAACTTTCTTTAGCACATCAAACCAAGATCCTTTTGGAAAACTATACATCTTAAGAAAAGATGCTGAACTTGCATCTTTTTACCACTTTCTGTCAACTCTATCTTACATGAATTTCCTGTGGCTCTTGGTTAATCCTGGATAAGGTACTTGGTTATGTTACAAACTGCAAAGGAAGATCATTTGATGCCTCCACTACATGGGGTCCTTCGGCGAGAAAGGTTTCTGCCAATGCTCATCCCAATGAATCCCGTGATGATCTGCATGAATCAATGCAGTGGAAATACTGCACGCTTTCTAAAAAACATGAAATTGAAGTCCTTCATCTGCGCAAAATGCAAGTAAGCACTGTTGCAGTGAAGAGTACAGCACAGATACCAAAGGCAGGGAACAGCTTATGTGAGGCTGTTACCTGAATAGCTGGAGAAGATCAATTCTGCCCCTTTCTATGCAAAATATTTGCATTTCAAAGCAGAACAGTTTCATAACTGATGACAGTAATTCATGAAAGCAAACGTGCAATATTTAAGAGGAATAACACAAGGGAAAAAAAAAATTAAAAGACAGTTGATAAGATCTTAAAATGGACGGTATTTTCCAGGATTTGTTACACTTTTTAAGAAGAGAAAGCTCTCCAAAGAAATCAAGATGTTTTGAGATAAGAAGCGGAATGAAGAAGAAAGCTCCTCACTCCTTCCAGCAGCCAACAGCTGAACCTTAATGAAGATGCCAGCTGACTAGTAATTTTAGCCATTTGGGTATATGGGAGAAATCTACAGAAAATTCTGTGGCATGAACCCAACTTTTACCTTACTGACAGCTGCAGGCTAGATGGGCTGCCTTAGCATCCAACCATAAAGTTATCCTGATTCCTAACACTATCTTCAGTGTAAATTACCAGACTTTTCTGCATTTATCAATGAGTGCGAGGAGTGGAAGAGGCATGAGAAAGGATAAATTTAAAGGAAAAAAAAGAGAGAGAAATTAATTTCTGAGACAAGGCAAAAGAAGAGGGAGAGAAGGATATCTGAGAGGAAGAAATGGTCTAAGGAAACAGAAAAGAGGGAGCTGACACCTTACAATGAGGAAAACAAACAGGCTTGGGGAGATACAAAACAGAGGATAAACAGTAAAGCAGGTGACAAGAAAGCACGGAAAACGTTGTAGGCAAATAGTGTAGAAATGAAGAAAACTCTATACAGAGTAGAGCCACAGAAGAGGAAAAAGTCACTCAAAAATAAAGACCGCATGAAACTATTAAAGTTTGAGTGACACTAAACTCAGACCTGTGAACTACAACATTCTGTGCTGCTTTTTAAAAGATGAAGAATAGGTTTTTGACCTAATAAAATTTAATACTAAAACTAGTGGCTCTGTGACCAATTTGAAAGACCAGCAATCCCTCTGCCTTTTTCTTCTCTCCTTTCTCGTAGAGCAAAAGCAGCTCACCAGTAATGGAAAGGAGGATGCTTTTGTGAAAACTGGCTTCAAGGTCCAACGTATTTCTACGGAAGATTGAACCGAACAAGGTTTATTGAATTAGAAGTCCTCTCCCTATTCGACAGCGTGGAGTAGCAGAGATACTGAGTTCCATCTTTGTAAGTGAAACACAAAATATTACTTTCATCATGCAACAGTTCCTTTTGTGCTGGTTGCTAGACTACAGTGGTAAGTGTTTTGCAAGTGAATAGATGAAATTAATTTTTTCTAATCAAACCTTTAAAAGTGCTATTTAGAACTAGGAAAGTCCATGAGCAAAATCTGTGAAGAAACTGTACTTCTCATGATTAATACATCTAATTTAATAATAAATTAATAATCTTAAGCATGACTTCCCCCATTTTAGTATTACAAAGACTTTGCTTATTGTAGTTTGCAGAGAACTTTGCTCAAATTTCCAGACAGGACTTTAACATATATTGGTAATGCTAAATCCAAGCAATTGTATTTTCATAAAAAGAACCACAATCTTCAACGCTGCTTCAGTAATTCAGATTCCAGATACTTTAATCATACTTAATTATTAAAGAAGGTTTTCCAGTCACAGCACCTCTGCTTACAAAGAGATCCTGAAGAACATCACTTTAAGGAGCTGACACAACTGCCAATTTGTATGAACATAAACATTTGGGTTTGTGACAGATGTTCCCTATAGCTGAAACACTTCAGAATAAAGGAGAAGTGGAAGATGCAGAAAAAGTAGAAACATGAACACAACATGCAGTGGTGGTCTATCCACCACATTTAGAGCAAGAGGAAATGATAGGTTGCTGTATGCATAGTAAGCATATTCTATCCACGAAGGTATTTACCCTTAAAAACAGATAAAACTATCCTATGGCTAAAGCAGAAGCTTGAAGCGGGACCCAGAAACAAAGCAGGCATTTTAATATTTTCAGGAACAGTGTCCTAGGAGACACAGGACACCAGTATAAAAGGAAAGAAACCAGCTACTTCATTTTGCAAAAGGACTTGCTTTATTTTTAAGTAACAATGCTGGTATTCAAGACCATCCTATCTCATGACCATCAGCA